TTACTCGGAAGACGAGGCTTGGAAACCAGGTAGACTTTGAACACTTTGAATCTTCACCCGCTATTGGATATTATTATACATTCAACTCACTATCTCTTTTCTGATTCGCCGAAAGCGTACAGGGAATTTTCGAACGGGCGCGGATTTTTCAGTGTTTCAGCAGCCATTATCCGAAAAGATTCCGCCAAACGACCTTGAAATGAGAATGGTGAAGGCCTCGCCGTTCGCTCATCAACCTGGCCGTGTGGTGCGATAGGCGAGCGACGTGTCAGCAGCTGATTGGCGATATCAAACAGACGTAAAAATATACTATGCTTTTTCACGTGTGTCGTTTCGGCTTTTCTCAGGGCTGGAAATCCTTGTTTAACACCGTAGTTTACATGATAAAAACTGTTCGCGGCGCGATCTACGTCTAAAATGAAGCCTCCTTGACAAGGTCACAAAGACTTTCGTTCGAAGATCTTCTCCTACATAGGTGTTCAGTTTTTTTCGTTATGAAAGTAAATAGATCTAGAGAAACCTGGTATTGAGAGATTTCCTTTACAAGAGGAGATTATATGCCACTCAGTTTTTGGATGACGCCTTTCCTTCCTATCTCGTTAAGAGCATTCATAAGGATTCCCACTATTGTTCCATTTCCGTTTGTTTCAGTCTTTCCAATTCTTAAGCTACTACGAGGAATTTCGTTACGAGGTGTTTGGCGCCCTCGTGGAGACACGACACTAAGTACTGATCAGGGTGCGTGGGCTTCCTGTATACGCTGATGGTGAGGCGGCCGTCAGGTTCCCTTGTTTGGTGTCATTCTCAGTCTCCTTGGTGAAGCGGGCTGCTGGTTGTTGCGATGCTGTAAGAAGTTATCGACGCTTCAACGATCCAGGATGGTAAAGTGTCGTGTACATAGCGTTTCCAGATCCTAGGCTTGTAGGATGATGAAGTTATTGCCTGTTCTTCAAAACTCTCTATTTAGGGCCTAACAATAACAGCGGAAACCGGGCTCCCCATAGCTGCGCCTTCTTGTTGATCGTAAATCGATCCATTATACTGGAAGTATGTGGATCTCAACACAAAAACCAACCAATCACAGCGGAGCATCCTGCTTTCTAATGATGAAGACTAGCAGAATGCAATCGAAACGTCGCGATTCACATCATAAGTGACCACATCGTGAGACAAACGATAATACTTTATCATTATTGTACTCTACCACGATGAACAAGCACAAACATTTTTCCGAAAGTAAACATCATTTGAGCAAAAATTGTGACTTAAAAAGAGTCGCAATAATTCTAAGTGTATTGAAATTGAAAAATGGCGAAAGAAATAAATAAACCGAGATAAGTAATAAACAAGAAATAATGCGACAAAACAAGAGTTGACGGTCGAGAAAACGAGGAAAAGTGATAATGTGGCGGTGCAAGAGTCATTGGTCAGGCATTATCGCGCTCCCCAGTAAGAAATTCCCGTAAAGAAATTTGATAACAACTTTTGATGAAGAATATTTGATTTGGCCGGTGGATGAAAATGAAGCTTAGAAATGAAAAAGGGAAAGAAGAAAAGAAGAATCCCCTAAAATTTGGTTGGCGCCTAACTTGTGGCTTGGTAGCTCAGTTGTTGTGTACAAAGGTTCTGTTTGTAAGTATTCTTTTCATGCGAGCCACGAAACATGACCAAAAAGAGTTGATATCGAAACACATAGTCGTTCCATTCATTTCGTCATTGAGAGAAATTGCAAGTTTGGAATGTAAAACCGCGTAACAACGACACTTATACAGACATGAATTTCAAAGGATGTTCGCGTTCATCTCTGATTTTGAACATGTGAAATTCCTTTGGGATCAAGTGCGTACTTCCCTGTCTAGAGACAAGAACTTTTGAAACGGATTATAAGATTCTACCGATGCTGATTATAAATGGCAAAATGTTACCTAGGGGTACTAAGGCTCCTCTTTCTAAAGTATTGTGGAGTGTCCTTTGCAGTTAACTGCTTTACAAACATTAACTTTCTCGACGCACAAAAACCTGAAAAGGGCTCAAATTGAGCAATAGACCGAACCAACTTGCATAAAAATCTTCATCAATAAGAAATGCACAGGTCTTGAAAAAAGTCAAGCAAAATTGTCTCGGAGACTGTTAATTCAATAACGTAAGTAGAGAATAATACAAGGGCGCGCGTAGATATGGATTTCTCGGGTCAATACCAATATCTGGGAAACTGCCCACCTACCCCTCCCCTAACTCAACAATAGTCAATTGATAACAAGTTAATGTTGGGTTAGGGGAGGGGTAGGTGGGCAGTTGCCCAGATACTGATATTGATCCGATTTCTCTTCGAATGTTGAACTCGATAGTTCACGAGCGAGATGCGAGTTGAACACGAGAAGAAAACTTTTTTGTCATTTGTTTATCATATAAACATAATAGCCCTTTAATTCCAAGAAAAGTCGACTTTATTAATGAATGAAAATAAAAGGATCGACAATCCCCGCATAAAAATCGTCAAGTGCGTTGGCGCACTCAAGATGAAAACATGCGTTGAATCACTACAAAAACAATGGGCCTAATTTTCAACGTACAAAATTCTTATTTGAATTGGTCCTTACCGACAGAAGAAATCTTTCAGGTACACGGCCAAAATTGGCCTTTGGTAAATCATCCAGTTGTCGGTTCTCGTTCTCAGCCGCGAGAAATGCCATTACCAAAGACACTGAATATGTAACTTTCAGTTTTTCCTCTTCATATTTTGATTTCTTTTCCTTCTAGGCAAGTTTGAACGTCACTGTCTGTAAGCGATAGGGATTTTTCAGTGTTTTAGCAGCCATAATGCGAAAAGATTCCGACAAACGACCCTGGATTGAAAATAGTGAAGGGTTTGCCGTTCATTCATCAACCTGACCGGGTGGCGCGAAAGGCGAGTGACGTGTAAGCAGCCGATTGGCGATATCATACACATGTGAAAAATATCGTATTTCACGTGTGTTGTTACGGCTTTTCTCAGGGCTGGAAATCCTTGTATAACACCGTAGTTTATATGATAAAGAGGGTTATCTGGAGGTCAATCTATTAATTACTTAGGAAATCCAGGGATGCACACTAAGCGTCAAACTGTTTAGAAACTTTCAATTTATGTTTCCTTTTAGAGAGATTCAGGTTTAAAAACTCTTTTCTTGTTAAGATCGATGTTTCAGACACAGATATTTGCTCCTTTTGCCAGATCACTCCGGAAACTAATTCACTAGTAATTCTGGGATCACTCGATTACGCATTCTTAGTTTGGAATAATTTACAAGCGTTTCTGGTCTTTTCGCATTTCAGTCGATCTGTTGGATGTTCTCACGTTCTAGAATTTCCGAAATCTATACGAAGAAACGTTATTTGATCTAGAGTACAAATCCCTTTGCAACTTGCCCATTAATCAAAAAATAACACGCGTTGTCTCAATTTCAAAGAGAATACTTTAAATTGTTATACACATATATAAAATGACGTGTGAAGAAGCCTATCAATACTTTAGTACCGTGGATGTCATAAAAAGTTGTACCTCCACACTAAATACACCCAATACATGGCTTTTATACACGATTTAGCCACTTGAAAGTACGACACCAACGAATTCCGAGACAGAATTAAAAGGAAAAATAAAAAATACAACGCAGCCTTTATTCAGGGAAACTTTCCCTGGTCTTATGATTGTTCCCCTCAACAGCGGATCCACCGTAGCATTCCCTTTTTCTAGAGTAAAAGATCATCAGGAAAAAGTCTATATCATAGAGAGGCAGCATGATTGATGTTGACCGTTCTGCTCTAATGGACTTTCAACAATGCTAGGTACTTCAAAAGTAAGTTTTCAAAGGTTGTTATGCATGTGCTCAAGTCCTCGCGCACTTTACCGAAATAGCAGGTTATGTGCAAAGTGTAGAGAAGGACATTTAGGTTGAGGAAGAAAATAGCGTCGCATTCTCCGGATCCAAGGGTGACTCAGTATTTTCAGTGAGGCAATGGCTTCAAGAGTCGAATTGTCATCTACTTCAGGAAATTTTTGACGTCAATAATCAAGTTCAAAAACGTCGAATTTCAAATTAAAAAACAAACAAAAAACCGCTGCAGTTTGCGGCGAGTCTGCTGGCCACAGTATGTAATTTCGTGATATGTTTAATCTCAGATGTCACGTATTAGATATCTGTTTCTTTGCCCTCTTTCAATCCGCGTCTCAAAGTGTCACGAAGCATAAGAGAGAGGGATGTTATTAAATCACTTAGTCACTTAAATCATTTTGTTCAACAAAAACAGTGTTAAATGAAATTGCAGGCTTATGTATGGAAACTTAAAGGCTAGTTTGGAAATAAAATAGCATAACGAGAAAACTTCCACAAACATATATTTAATAGAGAATCAGACGATTTTGTGATCGTGATCGCAATTACTTTCCCATATCAGCTTTCTTCTTCTTGTCGCAGAGTGAGCTGATGGTAAAATTCTCTTAACACCGAAGGAAACATGTTACCTAGAGGTATTTAGGCACCTTTCGACACCACTCAGCTGAAAAATTTACCCCTCCTTTAAGTTGATCGTGATCCTACTCCTACTGGTACTCTATAATGGTTCTCCATGCACTGACCTTTTACATCAACCAAACTTTCGAATGCGCTGCCATGGCGCATATCTAATTTTCATGTAGTTGTAGATAAGAGAAGCATTATTTTTGTATTTGTACAGCTTTAGTAGATTTAAACAAGGCTGTAAAAACCTGCCTTGATGAGATTTAACATTTAACATGAGCGGTGAATTAGCCAAATGAAACAGCACTCTGGATAAGAGCTGCTTTGCTTGGCATCAACTTATATAGTGGTCAACTGATTTTTTTTAATCACAAGGCTCAGCGGAGGTCAGTACAGTTTTTAACACTAATGTTTTGTTTTATTGCCATATTTTATAGTAGGAGTAATCCAACTTACGAAATAGAGAATAACTTATGTAAATAAAGGAAGAAATGATAACCTACTTCGTGATCGCTGCTACTTCCCAATACTTCCCCAGCTTTATTCTTCTTGTCTCAGAATGAGCTGATGGCAAAATTCTCTCAACACTGAAGAAAATATTTTAGCAAAATGTTACCTGGAGGTACTTAAGCACTTCTAGACACTATTCGGCTGGAAGAATAGACTTTCCTTTAAGTTGATCGTGATCTTATTCAACAGTGATATTCAGTAATAATTCTCCATGCACTGACCTTTTACCTCAACCGAACCTTCGAATGCGTTGTAATGGCGCATATCTAATGTTTTAATATTCCCCTTGCAATCCGACTTAAAACTCCTCGCTCCATTTACCCTGTTCTCCCTTCTACGCTTACTCTGCGCCTTACCCCTGGGCTCATAAGTCATTTATTAGTTACAATGTTATTATTTTCCCCGCTGTGTTTAGTTTGCTGTCTGCAATGCATTCGAACGGATCTAGAGTATCCAAGACGCGTGTTACATTGGGACGCAGTAATAGCTTGGCCGGCTCTCTATAGAATTCTCTGCAGCTTTGTTGTAGAACATCCTGGCGCCGAATCCGAAGATCTGGGGCTCGATTGCTCGCAAGGGAATCAGATTTTCGCCCCATTCTTATGAATAAACGCACGACATATTTCTTTATCCCCTATGAAGTTGTAAATAAGAGAAGCATTGTTTTGTATCTGCACAGCTTTATTAGATTCAAACGAGGATGTTAAAACTTGCCTTAATGAGATTTAACACTCAAGCGGTGAATTAGCCAAATGAAACAGCACTCTGGATAAGAGCTGCTTTGCTTGATTTGCATCAAACTACACAGTGATCAACTGATTTTTTAATGACAAGACTCTGCGGAGGTCAGTCAGAGTTCTAAACACTAATGTTTTTTTTTAATGCCATATTTTATAGCAGGAGTAATCCAACTTACGAAATAGAGAATAACTTATTTAAATAAAGGAAGAAATGATAGCCTACCTCGTATATGTCAGACAGAGATGGAAGAAGATTTGACTTCATGCAAAGCGAATCGTGCTGGTGTCAATTTCCTAGTCAGCTTTACTTCCCTGTCGTAATCTGTGACCGTGTTTCTTTTCAACAATCCTAGCATGGAAATATGAGTTTAACTAGGTTCATATTCCTCCCTGACAAAGACTTGCCAATAAACGGAAGATTATATTTCTTGAATTCTTGTGTAGCCTAGACATTGCTGAAAGTCGTTAAAACTAACAGAGAAATTGGACGATTTTGTGATCGTGATCGCAAATACTTCCCCGTATCAGCTTTCTTTTTCTTGTCTTAGACTCAGCTGATGGTAAAATTCTCCTTTTGTATTTGCACAGCTTTATTAGATTTAAACAAGGCTGTTAAAACCTGCCTTGATGAGATTAAACATTTAACCGGTAAATTAGCCAAATGAAACAGCACTCTGGATAAGAGCTGCTTTGCTTGATTTGCATCAAGCCATATAGTGGTCAACTATTTCTTAATGACAAGGCTCAGCTGAGGTCAGTACAGTTCTAAACACTAATGTTTTGTTTTATCGTCATATTTTATAGCAGGAGTAATCCAACTTACGAAATAGAGAATACCTTATGTGAATTAAGGAATAAATGATAACCTACCTCGAATGTGTCAGATAGAGATCGAAGGAGATTCGACTTCATGAAAAGTAAATCGTGCTTGTGTCAATTTCCCAGTCAGCTTTACTTCGGTATTGTTGAAATCTGTGCCTGTGTTTCTTTTCAGCAATCCTAACATAGAAATACGAGTTTAACCCGGTTCACATTCCTCCTTGACAAAGACTTGCCAATGAACGGGAAAATCATATCCCTTGAATTCTCGTGTAGCTTAGAAATTGCTAAAATTCGTTAAAATTAACAGAGAAATTGGACGATTTTGTGATCGTGATCGCGACTACTTTCCCATATCAGGTTTCTTTTTCTTGTCTCAGAGTGGGCTGATGGCAAATTTCTCTTAACACTGAAGAAAATATTTAACAAAATGTTACCTGGGGCTGTTTAGACACCTCTCGACACTATTCAGCTGGAAAAATAGACTTTCCTTTTAGTTGATTGGGATCTTATTCAACAGGGATATTCGCTAATGGTTCCCCATGCATTGACCTTTTACATCAACCGCACTTTCGAATGCGTTGCAATGCAGCAGATCTAAAACTTTAATATTCCCCTTGCACTCCGACCTAAAACCCCTTGCTTCATTTACCCTGTTCTCCCTTCCACGCCTAACTCTGCGTCTTACCCCTGGGCTCATGAGTCATTTATTAGTTACAATGTTATTATTTTCCCCGCTGTGTTTAGTTTGCTGTCTGTAATGCACTCTAATGGATCTAGAGTATCCAAGACGCGTGTTACACTCGGCCGGTTCTACATAGAATTCTCTGCAGCTTAGTTGTAGAACATCGGAGCGCCGAATACGAAGATCTGGGGCTCGATTCCTTGTGGGAGACTTTGATTTTCGCCCCATTCCTTCAAATTAGCGAATAACTTATTTCTTTATCCTTCATGTAGTTGTAAATAAGAGAAGCATTGTTTTGTATTCGCACAGCTTTATTAGATTTAAACAAGGCTGTTAAAACCTGCCTTGATGAGATTAAACATTAACCGGTGGCCAAATGAAACAGCACTCTGGATAAGAGCTGCTTTGCTTGATTTGCATCAAGCCATATAGTGGTCAACTATTTCTTAATGACAAGGCTCAGCGGAGGTCAGTACAGTTCTAAACACTAATGTTTTGTTTTATCGTCATATTTTATAGCAGGAGTAATCCAACTTACGAAATAGAGAATACCTTATGTGAATTAAGAAAGAAATGATAACCTACCTCGAATGTGTCAGACAGAGATCGAAGGAGATTCGACTTCATGAAAAGTAAATCGTGCTTGTGTCAATTTCCCAGTCAGCTTTACTTCGGTATTGTTGAAATCTGTGCCTGTGTTTCTTTTCAGCAATCCTAACATGGAAATACGAGTTTAACCCGGTTCACATTCCTCCCTGACAAAGACTTGCCAATGAACGGGAAAATCATATCCCTTGAATTCTCGTGTAGCTTAGAAATTGCTAAAATTCGTTAAAATTAACAGAGAAATTGGACGATTTTGTGATCGTGATCGCGACTGCTTTCCCATATCAGGTTTCTTTTTCTTGTCTCAGAGTGAGCTGATGGCAAATTTCTCTTAACACTGAAGAAAATATTTAAACAAAATGTTACCTGGGGCTGTTTAGACACCTCTCGACACTATTCAGCTGGAAAAATAGACTTTCCTTTAAGTTGATTGGGATCTTATTCAACAGGGATATTCGATAATGGTTCTCCATGCACTGACCTTTTACATCAACCGAACTTTCGAATGCGTTGCCATGGCGCAGATCTAAAACTTTAATATTCCCCTTGCACTCTGACTGAAACTCCTCGCTTCATTCATCCTGTTCTCCCTTCCACGCCTAACTCTGCGCCTTTCCCCTGGGCTCATGTGTCATTTGTTAGTTGCACTGTTATTAATTTCCCGTTGTGTTTAGTTTGCCGTCTGTAATGCATTCACCAACGGATCTAGTGTATCTAAGTCGCGTGTTACATTAGAACGCAGTAATGGCTCGGCCGGCTCTCCATAGAATTTGCTGCAACTTAGTTGAACAACATCAGAACGCCGAATCCGAAGATCTAGGGCTCGATTCATTGTAGGGAAATTAGATTTTCGTCTCATTCTTTTGAATAAACGAATACCATATTTCTTAATCCGTCATATAGTTGCTGATAAGAAAAGCATTTACGCAGCTTTATAAGATGTAAACGAGGCTGTTAAAACTTGCCTCGATACGATTAAACACTTAAGCGGTAAATTAGCTAAATGAAACAGCACTCTAAATAGGAGATGCTTTGCTTGATTTGAATCAAACTTTACAGTTGTCAATTGATTTTTTGATGACAAGGCTCAGCGGAGGTCAGTACAGTTCTAAACACTAATGTTTTGTTTTATCATCATATTTTATAGCAGGAGTAATCCAACTTACGAAATAGAGAATAACTTATGTGAATAAAGGAAGAAATGATAACCTACCTCGTATATGTCTGACAGAGATGGAAGAAGATTCGACTTCATGCCAAGTGAATCGTGCTGGCGTCAATTTCCTAGTCAGATTTAATTCCCTGTCGGAATGTGTGCCTGTTTTTCTTTTCAGCGATCCTAACATGGAAATACGAGGTTAACTTGGTTCATATTCCTCCCTGACAAAGACTTGCCAATTAACGGGAAAATTATATTTCTTGCATTCTCGTGTAGCTTGGAAATTGCTGAAAGTCGTTAAAATCAACAGAGAATCGGACGATTTTGTGATCGTGATCGCTACTACTTCCCCATATCAATTTTATTCGTCTTGTCTCAGAGTGAGCTGAGAGTAAAATACACTTGACACTGGAGAAAATATTTTAGCAAAATGTTACCTGGAGCTACTTAGGCAGCTCTCGACACTACTCAGCTGAAAATTAAACTTTCCTTTAAGTTGATCGTGATCTTATTCAACAAGGATATTTGATAATCATGATCCTCCATGCATTGACCTTTTACATCAACCGTAGTTTCGAATGAGTTGCAATAGCGCAGATCTAAAGTTTATTCCCCTTACACTCCGACTTAAAACTCCTCACTTCATTCAATTTGTTCTCCCTTCTACGCCTTACTCTGCGTCTTACTCCTGGGTTCATGAATCATTTATTAGTTACACTGTTAGTATTTTCCCGTTGTGTTTAGTTTACTGTCTGAAATGCATTCGAACGGATGTAGAGTATCCAGGACACGTGTTATATTGGAACGCAGTAATAGCTCGGCCAGCTCTCCAAAGAATTCTACGCAGCTTAGTTGTAGAACATCGGAGCGCCGAATCCGAAAATCTGGAGCTTGATTCCTTCAAGGGAAATTATATTTTTGCCCCATTGTTTTTCGGTATTTGCACAGCTTTATTAGATTTAAACGAGGTTGTTAAAGCCTGCTTTGATGAGATCAAATATTTAAGCGATGAATTAGCCAAATGAAACAGCACTCTGGATAAGAGCTGCTTTTTCTCGATTTACATCAAACCATACGGTGGTCAACTGATTTCTTAATAACAAGGCTCACCAGAGGCCAGTACAGTTCTAAACACTAATGTTTTGTTTTATTACCATATTTTATAGCAGGAGTAATCCAACTTACGAAATAGAGAATAACTTATGCAAATATAGGAAGAAATGATAACCTACCTCGTATATGTCAGACAGAGATAGAAGGAGATTCGACTTCATGCAAAGTGAATCGTGCTGGTGTCAATTTCCTAGTCAGCTTTACTTCCCTGTCGTAATCTGTGCCTGTGTTTCTTTTCGGCAATCCTAAAAGTCTAAAGACACGTGTTACATTTGAACGCAGTAATAGCACGGCCGGCTCTCCATAGAACTCTGCAGCTTGGTTGTAGAACATCGGAGTGCCGAATCCGAAGATCTGGGGCTCGATTCCTTGTAGGGAAAGTAGATTTTTGCCCCATTCTTATGAATAAACGAATAACAAACTTCTTTACCCGTCATAAAGTCGCAGATAAGAGAAGCATTTTTTTGTATTTGCACAGCTTTATTAGATTTAAACGAGGTTGCTAATACTCGCCTTGATGAGACTAAACATTTAAACGGCGAATTAGCCAAATGGAACAGCACTCTGGATAAGAGCTGCTTTTTCTTGATTTACATCAAACTTTACAGTGGTCAATTGATTTCTTAATAACAATGCTCAGCGGAGGCCAGTACAGTTCTAAACACTAATGTTTTGTTTCATTACCATATTTTATAGCAGGAGTAATCCAACTTACGAAATAGAGAATAACTTATGTTAATAAAGGAAGAAATGATAACCTACCTCGTATATGTCAGACAGAGATTGAAGGAGATTCGACTTCATGCAAAGTGAATCGTGCTGACGTGCTGGTGTCAGTTTCCTAGTCAGATTAACTTCCCTGTCGTAATCTGCGCCTACGTTTCTTTGCGGCAATCCTAACATGGAAATATGAGTTTAACTTGGTTCATATTCCTCCCTGATAAAGACTTGCTCATAAACGGAAAAATTATATTTCTTGAATTCTTGTGTAGCCTAGAAATTCCTGAAAGTCGTTAAAACTAACAGAGTAATTGGGCGATTTTGTGATCGTGATCGCAACTACTTCCCCGTATCAGCTTTCTTTTTCTCGTCTTAGACTCAGCTGATGGCAAAATTCTCCTGACACTGAAGAAAATATTTAAACAAAATGTTACCTGGAGGTACCTAGACACCTCTCGACACTACTCAACTAAAAAATTAATCTTTCCTTTCAGTTTTGGATACACTAAGCGGTGAATTAGCCAAATGAAACAGCACTTTGGATGAGAGCTGCTTTGCTTGATTTAAATCAAACTTTACAGTTGTCAATTGATTTTTTGATGACAAGGCTCAGTGAAGGTCAGTACACGGTTCTAAACACTATTGTTTTGTTTTATCGTCATATTTTATAGCAGGAGTAATCCAACTAAGGGAATAGAGAATAGCTTATGTAAATTAAGGAAGAAATGATAACCTACCTCGTATATGTCTGACAGAAATAGAAGGAGATTCGACCTCATGCAAAGTGAATCGTGCTGGTGTCAATTTCCTAGTCAGATTTACTTCCCTGTCGTAATATGTGCCTGTTTTTCTTTTCAGCAATCCTAACATGGAAATACGAGGTTAACTTGGTTCATATTCCTCCCTGACAAGCAATTGCCAATGAACGGGAAAATCATATTTCTTGAATTCTCGTGTAGCTTGGAAATTACTGAAAGTCGTTAAAATTAACGGAGAATCGGACGATTTTGTGATCGTGTTTGTACTACTTCCCCATATCAATTTTATTCGTCTTATCTCAGAGTGAGCTGATAGTAAAATACACTTGACACTGGAGAAAATATTTTAGCAAAATGTTACCTGGAGCTACTTAGTCACCTCTCGACACTACTCAGCTGAAAATTACACTTTCCTTTAAGTTGATCGTGATCTTATTCAACAGGGATATTCGATAATGGTTCCCCATGCATTGACCTTTTACATCAACCGTACTTTCGAATGCGTTGCAATGCCGCAGATCTAAAGTTTATTTCCCTTGCACTCCGATTTAAAACTCCTCACTACGTTCACCCTGTTCTCCCTTCCACGCCTTGCTCTGCGCCTTATCCCTGGGCTCATGAATCACTTATTAGTGACACTTCTAATATTTTCCGCACTGTGATTAGTTCTCCGTCTGTAATGCATTCGAACGGATCTGGAGTATCTAAGACACGTGTTACATTTGAACGCAGTAATAGCTCGGCCGGCTCTCCCTAGAATTCTCTGCTGCTTAATTGTAGAACATCGGAGCGCCGAATCCGAAATTCTAGGGCTCGATTCCTTGTAGGGAGAATTAGATTTTCGCCCCATTGTTCTGAATTAACGAATAGAATAACATATTCCTTTATCCTTTATGTAGTCGTAGATAAGGGAAGCATTTTTTTGTATTTGCACAGCTTTATTAGATTTAAACAGGGCTGTTAAAAACTGCCTTGATGAGATTAAATATTTAAGCGGTAAATTAGCCAAATGAAACAGCACTTTGCCTGGAAAAATCATATTTCTTGAATTCTTGTGTAGCTTGGAAATTTCTGAAAGTCGTTTAAAAGATGACCAGGGAAATTTTACCCCTGTAGTCAATGACGCAGTCAGCCTTTTTTATAAACCAACCAATGAACCAACACACAAAATGATCGCTTTCTCTACAGGTGGCTTAGTCAAGGGTTGAAAGACTCGATTTGTCGTCTACCTCTGAACATTTTTGATGTCTATGAACCAAATAAATGTCAACAACAATCAACCAAACTAAAAAAAAAAAAAAAACCAAAAAAAAAAAAAAAAAAAACAAAACGCCGCTCTGCTGTGTGTATCCGCGGGTTCGAATTCACGCGGCTAGAAGAGGATGTGGTAGCAGAAAAAAATGAAAATTATATAAATAGGAAAAATAATATCTCTCTCATGAAGGAGTTACATGAATACTTGAGTAGCCTCTTCCCCCACCCCGACTTAACCCCTCTCCCCACCCCAGCCTTACTTAGCCCCCTTCCTTTTTCATACTTTATTTATGGACACCTCCCCGGGTGGCAGGGCTAGACTTGAGAGCCCGTCGGGTCAGATATTATGTTGTTCAGCGGTTAAATTTGCGCCTTCTATGACATGCGTATTAAAGCGTCATGATTCGAGTTTACTCTTTGCTGCGTGGAGGAAATTTCCTCAAGTGAACAGATTTCGATATCTGTGGGATTAACGACCGTAAAATGAAGACTGAGAGAGGCCTCAGTATCAATAATCCGAATGAGTCGTGGCTTGAAAGCAAAGGTACATGGTTCACATACGTGTTGTTAATCACGATTGGCCATTTGGTTATCCTCAGTGTTCCCTTCTTTGATACGCCAACGGCATGGACATTGACAAATACCTTCCACAATTTGGTGAGTTGAACGTTTTGATTCTTTTCTCTTTCTGAAGCGTCTCGCGCTGAAATTTATTATTTAATGTTATACGTGAATTTGACGGCAAAAGGTAACATTATAAAACCTTCTGGGTTTTTATTTAAAGAAGTGTAATACGGATTTGATGTGACGAAAGATGATACGGATAATTAGTTGTCACGAAAATACAGCAACAAGGAAACATATGAGTTTAATGTGTGCATCGAACTTCAACTAATGGGACCAATCGTATCCTCTATCAATGAGGTCCAGAGAACTCTTAAAAGCAGACATAAAATCATATACTGGGTTTCGACATTTTGAGCTTGTTAAATACCTTTTGAATATTTAAGATTTTAGTTTGAAATAAACACGGTTATATTGCGATTTGGAAAAAATGATCATAAGGAAGTATAAATGTAGCTTTTTTTTATTTTTTGTTTCCATGTGGAAACACTATTTCCGTGTATAGGGCTTGATGCTATCAAAGATAAACTTTATCCTGAATTAATTTGATATGGCTTTACAATTAATACACATCACTCCAGGTTTAAGGTAATTATAGCCTTTGCTCGTCGGGTAATTTTCAGATAGTAAAATTTCTTTGTGTTATAGCAATTTAGTTTTGTGAACTGTAAGTTATGTTCTAAATTTGCTACACAAACATCAGATTTGTTATTTTTCATGCAGTGGTTTCATTTAGCCATTGTTATTAATAAGTAAAAATAGCATTGTTGCAATAAGTGATCTTGTTTTTTCTGAGAGGGTTAGCAAGAATATTTTCTTCCACAAGTAAATTCATAGAAGCCATTAATAATCAACATATGGCTTTTTCTAAAATTTTTTTAATGATCATGCAGAAATATCTAAGAAGAAAAATTTTGGATGTCTTGTGGGATTAATTGCTTAGTTGGTTAATGAATTTTTAAGCTTGTAGTTATAAAAGTTTTCATGATTTTTAAAATCTGTCATTGGTACCCATTAACTTTTCAGTTATCTTTTATTCAATGATGTGGTAATGCTTTGTAGTGTATAAAAGGAAACCTTGCTATGTGTTACAATAATCCTTGGCTCAAATTCATGTTCATGGAGACGAATTTGTTTTAATCTGGAGTGACCTCTTCTTTAAGCTGTCAACCTCAGGAGTTTCATCTCCTCTTAATTTGGGTTGTTGAATAAATACAGGTTTCATTTACTGTCCATGAATAGTAAGTTGTTACTTGAATTAATCATATACTATTGTCAAACAATCAACTGAATCTGAATAAAATGGATTGTGGACCAGGCATTTTCAGGCACACAGAATAAAAGTTTAAACTCTTAAAAACATTGGAAAAGTAGGCAATGTAATCTAAACCCTTTCACTCCCAGTTACTTTACATTTATTTAATATCCCACTGTACTAAGTAAAGTACAAGTGATGTGCAGGTCGATACAAATATCCTGTGATATTGAACAGTTGGGTTTTTGTAATTTAACCCTTTAACTCACAGAAGTGATTAACATGTAACTTCTTCCTATGATATCTTCACATTTTCTAGCAAACAGTTAATGAGAATACTAAAACTTATCAAGAAGAAGTTTTAAATCTTGATCTTACATCAAATTCTTACAACCAATTTAGAAGGAATTGTATAGCAGCAAGCAGAGAGAATTAACAGTCAGATCTTGGGAGTTAAAGGGTTAAAATACCTGTTTAACAGGTTGGCTGTGAGTGCTATGCTTCTCTATCTGCTTGGCTCTTCCTGACTTCTTAGAAATTCATGTAAAATAAAGCCGTTGGACTATAAACAACTCAAAATAGCACTGTAACTTTCATTACTTAAAAGAGTTCATTAAATTTACATTAAAATATTTTAGATTAAATTCTATTCAATATATTCTTGCATAAAAAATGTTTGAACTAGTGGCCTGCTCAGCCTCGTTTGAGTGATTGTTCCAAGTAAGAGCACCCCTGTATTGCAAGCTCTATTTAAGGGCTTCAGTGTTGGGTCTTAGAATGAACAGATATAGCTGTGAGCCATGTAGATTGTATCTAGAGATAGTATTTGTGTATGGGTGTGGATGGAGTCCAATTAGGGAAATGTTATGTGGAGTGACAACCAATTGAGGTTGAACTAAATAAAAAGACAAGAACGAGAAAGTCTAAAGATCTTTGGGCTCTCTTGTCTAAAGTCTGGCATTGTAGGCATTTGTACAATGCAACCTTGCACTCTGCACTATAGTTTAGTGTACACTACATTGAACATTGCTTCAGCACAGCAAAAGATATAACACTGTGGAATACTCTGTTCTTGTTTCAGAGTATGTTCATCTTCTTACATTACCTGAAGGGGACACCATTTCAAACAGCTGATCAAGGAAAAGCTCGAAGGCTGACTCACTGGGAGCAACTTAACAATGGCGAACAATTCACAGAAACAAGAAAGTTCTTTACTTTGGTGCCAATCTTCTTGTGAGTCTTATCAAGGTTGATAATTTCACGGAAAGTCTCAAAGTTTTTAAGAAGGACTTTCCATTTAATTCTTGTGGGGGGAGGGGGAAGGGATGGAAAATGTGGGGATATTTTCCATACTTTTATTTATATATTTCCTTTGTTACTGACAAGGAGAGGTTTTTTAGCAATCAAGAGCTTCTTGAGTGGGTAGTCACCTCCTTTTATTCTCATAACCTTAATGTTTGATTCAGTAGTGATAACTTATAGAGAAATTAGATGTTAGTCTCTCCTAGAGGTTAATTAGTCAAGACCTAGTAATACACAATAGCATGCAAGGTTGACATGATGAAATTAATGTAAGATCTGCAGCGGATATTGCATTTATTGTGTCAAGATCAAAGTCTGCCTATTTTGCGAGCCTCTTGTCTGTGTAATTTTCTCTCAGAGCAATGTGTCTTCTTTTGCAGATTTGTTCTTTTGCAATTGAATTTGGCTTTTGTCTGATATCATGAATTATCAAACCATGTGCCTGTGTTGTGTGCCTTGGCCTTAAGCTTCAGCAAATAACTCAGACCTTGGTGGTGATAATTCACAGTTTTGTTGCAAATAAAAAGAATTGCTTTTTACTAAAGATCTTGTCTAGAAAGCCAAGTTTTCTTTAAAAAATCTGAGCGATTGACATGATAAGTCTTTACGGTGTTTTTGTCGCACAATAACTGATTTGCATCTTAAGCTGTTATAGTCATTGGTGATGTTCACCAATGTTCACCAACTTTAAGTTTCTGTTTGATGTTCACCAATGTTCACCAGTGTTTTGTTTACTAAATATTGTTTACTTTTCTGTATGTTTAACTCCTAATAAGTTGTATTGGATTGAGGACCAACTCGCCGACGTCTCTACTCGATTTTATACGTCAGCGAGTTGGCGTCGGCAAGTTGGACCGTCGACGAGTTGACCGTAATTCATAATTCACAATATCATACTCAACCTTATCCAATAATTACTTATTATAGCAGTCTGTGAAAAAAGGATGGGGCTACCATGTAAAATGTTATCATTATAGGTTTATTAATTGCTTTTTTTCTTAAACTTGGTTTCAGATTTATGGTGACAAGCTTCTACACAAAGTATGACGGAATTCATTTTGTCTTCAACTCACTATCCCTTCTTTTTCTCTCTCTGGTTCCCAAGTTTCCTCAGATGTATAAAGTGAGGTTGTTTGGCCTGAACAAGTATTGATAACATGAAGAACATCTTGGTAATGAGGAATTCACTGGATGATAGAAAAACTGCTCACAAGGAAAAGAAACTTAAACCTCTCTTCATGTGCTAATTCGTTTGCCAGGGAAATGATTTTAGAGAATATTCTTTTTTGACAGGAAGAGACAATGTATCTTCTCTAGATGATTACTTATTTAAGTGCTGTATATTCTTGCAGCTAAAATTATTTGAAATGAGATCAAAGTAAATTTAAGATATCAAGTAGCTGAGAAGTGTGCTCCTTCCTTTAATCAATTTCAAGTACACAAAGGTTACAACTATTATAAATCTAATATGTAGCAGATAACTAACAAATTTATGATGGAAACATTGTCGTTGTGGGTACGTCTTGGAAAACCATTGTACAATTGTAAAGAAATGATACTATATTAGGATATGTCAACAAAAAAACAAGAACTAAAAATCCTAGAGATGTTGACAGTTGTCCTTCTTTTCTTTTGTTGTTAGCATGCTTTTAGCTGTAGCAGAATCCACAAGTGCTTATGTGAAATGAAATGTGGAGCTTAATTTAGATCAATTGACTTAAATGGTAAGCTTAAAGCATGATTCAGTTCATCATATTGTTGTTTTAGGAAAAAAACTGAAAGGTACATATACACATATGCTTGCAAGGTTCTAGCTCAAAAAGCAATGTTCATTTTAGTGTCAAATGTATTCCAGGATTGCACTGCATTGCTTTTGCTTTTCTCTGCTCAGTGATTGGTCCAAAAAATTGTGCCATCCTTTCCACCAATCTGGTACAAAACTCAAGCTGTTAGCTACCTGGTCATACCAATGTGCTTTCTGCTTTTAGGCTGTCTTGTCAGCTTCACATTTTGAGTTCTTTATTCAAATTAACTGCGGTTTTGCAAGACTCAATTGAAAAGCAATTGATTCTTACTTATAGTAACTATGAACATTAACAGTGCTGCAAGAATATCTGATTTGTCCACTGGTTAAATTTGGAATATAGCAGAACAGCTCCTTGAAGTTGTAGTGAATGCTGGCCATTAACTAACTGCAGCTGGTCTGTAAAAAAGGCTGTTGAGAATGAAAATGCATTTCTGCTAGTTGGATCAAATCATGTAGAGATTACTGTGAACTAACAGTAACCAAAAGGAAAAATGATTTTTATTGTAACAAGTTATGGTTGTCAGGATGCTGTAAGAAGTAACATAACCTATACGTGACTGTGAGAATGCTTGTGCGTGATTCTGTGAAGCATATGATTGTAGTATGAACATTTATTTTGTTGTGATTTAACCTTGATCAAAAACTGCTATTGCGGAGAGTGATAAACTAATTTCAGATAAGTTTTCAATTTAATCATATCACACCTTGGACCACAGAGTTAGTTGTCCTATTTAATAAATAATGGTTTACTTAGGTGAAATTATCATAAGTTTTTGGAAAATACAAAACCTGGACTTCTGTTAGCCAAGAATTACAATTTTTGGTAGATTTAAAGTGTTATTAGATTACAATAAAGACAAGGGAAATACATTTTCTTACTTTTCCAGTTACTGTAGACAAGACAGCATATAACCAAAATCAAGGGATGTGATTGCAATGGATTAATTATTTGACAAATAACCTGTAACTGCTAATTGCATGATTTTTTAATAAAGAAATGTTATTATATTTATTATACACCCTGTATCAACATAATTGTAATAAAAGTTGTGGTCAACATGATACGTTGTCTAGTTTGTGACTTGCTCAGTGTTTTGGACTAGCATTTTTCCTTTTCTAGAACAACTTTAGCTGGTGACTGCTTGTTATACACAAGGAAAAAACTACTAGAAACAAAAGCCTGAAATGGGTCACCTAGCACCAAGCACAGCATTCTCCCAATTGAAATCAAAGAACAGTAATAACCATTGAACTCCCATGAGTGACCAAGTCAGAATTTCTCCTTACAATATCAATACTATACCAACCAGAGAAGTGATGAAATTAAAGAAAAATATCAATTTAGGGATAATTAGTTGATCTAATAATAAATTCTCTAAACAAACATAAGTGTTGTATTGTTGACATTAAGGAGAATTTGATCTGGGAGTTAATGGGTTAAACCCACCCAGTCAGTAGACTGTGAGCAGTCCCTCCTTTTTTGACAAAGTCCACCATGCCTTCTACTCCCAGAATTCTGTGCAGCATGCAGATCAACTTTCCAGTTGCTCTAACCTTTTTTGACTTTTACAACAGAAGTCTACTTTAGTTATTTGTTAGGAAACTTGTAAGGTGGTATGAGCAGTTATGATCTTATCCTGTTTTCAAGGCAAAAATAACTGGGTTATCGATTATACAGGTGACTTTAGATAATGAGACTATATGCTTTTCAATGGGACTATTGGGGATTGAAAATTACCATTGGCAAATATCATTCAATGCTTAATTAATACTGTTCACATGTGGGTGTACTAGTCTTGACATTCATTATCTGTAAACAACATACAATAACTTGCATAGATCTGTTAGATGAGAGAAAAAACCCAAAGCGAAACAAAAATGTGGACAGATATTCACGTATTTTTAGAGACAAAATTTCCTATCAATCTCAGTCTTGTGGAATATTGCCTGATTAAGAATCAGGTAATTACTGAGAAATTGGAGGTCAATCCTGGAAGGAATTTAAGGGTCTTCCTAACAAGATCATGTTTTCTCAGACAGTGGCACTTCGGTAAATCCAAATTCTGTTATGGTACCAGTAAGTACCTCTCTACCTTAATAATTCCCCAACGGCGTTCAGCTCAAGATAGCTCACTTTTCAGCAATTTTATTTCAGATAACTTGATACTCTCTGTATGTACCTCTTAATTGTCTCTATTATTTCTAGTATAAATAAATTAAGGCTTGACACAGGTCACTTCATCACACAACTAATACTTTCACAATTTCATGTCAAAGCTGTTGATTGTTAACCCTACAATAACTATGAAATATCCCGCTTGATATATGCACATGCTTATCTCATAACAGTTTTCATTAGCTACAAAGCTATTTACAGAAAAAATAATAAAAAATGTCGAAGGGAAACATGTTTGTACCTTAGGGCCCTGACACTAACACAATTATATTTGATGAACAGAAACTTGTTCCAGCCTTTTGACTGGCCTTTGACAAATGGGTTTTGTACAATTTCCTGGATTCATTTGACTACTGATATTTACACAGCCAAAGAAAAGTCAACTCTGTGGCCACTTATTTGATGAAGAGAATGAAACTCATTGACTTGGAACAACTTCCCAGAGCCCTTGTAAAGTGAAGCCATCCTTTAATTTCTCCACAGCTAGGCCCAGCTGCTCTGAATACACTGGTTCACGATCACTTGACTACAAAGAACAAAGATAGAAAAATTACCAGTCACATTACTCCTCATGATTTATCTCACTACTGCACCAGCCTCAAATGTTGAATCTTCATCAGTGACAGAGCTACTTTAAACTACAAGAAATTCCGCCAATGAATTTGGTATAACATAGGCCTTTAAAAACACAATTGAACAGTATTTCAAAATCAAACTTGTATGTAGGAAACTGCTTATCGGGTAGTTTGCATTTTGGAAATAATTATAATGGAGAATTTCTATGTAGGAGCTATTCAATTTATACCTTTGGTGTTATGATGGCAAATGCATTAACATAGGGCATGGACACCTACCTTATCACCATCAGCAAAGTATGCCTGAAATAGAAAAAAAAATTACACAGTCACATACCATTAAGACTGAATAATTCTTAAAGGAGAACAAATGATGTGACAAAGAGTATATCAAATTAATTTGGAATTGTCCATGAGACAGCATGAAACAAATTGATCTTGGAGATAAGCTGACATTACAGTCATTGTGGCAAAAGAAATCAACAAATTTAGGATTTGAAACAATGAAGGGATTGATCCTGTGCCTTTTAGATACTGGTTGACCACTCCACCAGTGGATGCAGCGGCATCTAATAACTGGCTATAACAGGGAAGCCACCCCAGGCTATAATATAAAGAGTAAAAACTCTTTCCCATCTAGAGGACAACAAAAGTGGCTTCTTCAAAGAGGTGGTTGTAAGTGATCTCTTCCAGCCATACACTGTAGATAAACATGGCATTAAATTAGCAGCTAGGCAAAATGTTCTTGAGTTGATCAGTTACCTCAAATAGGTTTGGTCATTCTGGAAGGTCAAACCATTTTGGAAAAAGGTTTAGAAAATATGGAGAGAAAGTTACTGACTACTTACTGCAAAGGCATCCGTGCCTTCCCCCTCATTAACAATCTCTATATCATCCTGGACTGGGTCAACTGTAACCTCATCTACTGTTTGGGGCTGAAATACAAAAACACAATAATAATCACTCAACAGCAAAATGTGGGAACAGAAGGTAAGAGTTAGTGCTGACTGGAATGCAGATTTTCAGTTAAATTTAAGTCAATCCTCCTCTGAGAAGTCAAAATTCTGCATCAAGTGAGGCTCAAAGAACAAGAATTTCCAATCCTTTTCTTCCTACATGTTCACCAAAACTCATGATAGAGCTTGGTTTCCTTGTCTCAACAGTGGCCCTAATTTTTAGATATCAAACCTTACAAGTTATAGATTAGAAAACTTAAAATGATGAAAACCTTTTCCTCTGTTTCAAATTCCACTCCAAATATTGGACTGGCACTGTAAACCTGAAAGAAAGATAGAATAGAAAAAAGGTACGATATATCAGAATGTTGGAAATTAACAACAACAGCAACAAAAACAGTCAATTAGATGCTCTTTCATACAATGATATTACAATAATTATTACAAAATAGTTAATGTTCTTTAAGGGTTGTGATGTGTGGTCAATATTCACAGTATTATTGCTCAGTTTCAACAATAGTGCACGAGATTACTGTGTGGTGGATGTCCTCACCTGGGGTGGGATGGGTGGAAGAGACACTAATTGTAAAGTGCCTTTGATCATCCTTAAATGTTAAAGGGCGCTATATAAGTAAATAAATTAAATTAAGTTAGAGCAACACAGAGATGACAAGTCTGTGACCAATTACCTTTTGTAAACTTTGAATTTCTTTAGCTGCTTCTTGTAATTTTTCTCCTGGGTCAATACGGAACCCAAGTACATATCCACCACTCTAAACAGCCAAACACACAAAAATCAAAGACTGTCAGCCATCAAGGTGATTATTCACAACTATTTGAAAGGATTTAAGACACGCCTTGCTGATGGCATGCTCATGAACTCTGGGGTCTGGGCTCTAGCCCTGGCCAGGTCATTGTGTATCTCTCACCATGCCTCTCTCTACCCAAGAGCCAGAAATACATGTTAGAGGTTCCCCTAAACTTTTTACATGAGGTGTGATAGGGTGATATTTTTTTGTTATGAATTATGATATATTTGTATATCATTTGTATTTTATTTGTGAATTGCGATGATGATCTTTTCATGTCCACATGAACAAATTTTTTTAATCTAACTATGAACTGTGAATAAAGAGGTGTTCCTTGGTCTAATAGTACCTCACTCTATCTTTGGGATTTTCCCTTAAAAAAATTGTGTGGGATTTCTTTCAATTATTTAAATTTCAAACCAAGTATTTAATAGGTGGTTAACCACAAACTGCCTCATCTGCAGAAAAATGATTATGAGAGATTAAAGCTAAATATTTCAAGTTACTAAGGAATATTAGCAAAGTTGCCATAGATTAACCATTTTTGCCTGTTGTTTGTAGTAGTACCTGCTGTGAAGTTTCCAAAACTAATGCAAGTCCAAACTTGGAATCCCTTATTTTGACTGATCTCTGTTGAAAACAGCACCAACACTGTGTTTTATACCTCAATTATTATACCAACATGTCATATAAAGTTGAACTCCCCTTGATACAAACTAATCTCCTTATTTCTTATGCAATCTATTGAAACCTCCAAAATAAAAGAAAATCTGGATCTTTTTCCAATTTGTAAGAGTGGAAATCAAGTCTATTTTATTTTTTTTCTGCAATGAGTTTTCTGTTAACCCTTTACAACCTAACTACAGTTCCATATTCTCCATTCTTTTCTCTGTACATTTCCTTTGGTGCTGGCAAGGAGAATTTGTTTAGCAATCAAAGCTTCTTTGGTTGGTGATCTTTCCCTTTATTCTCATGATCTTAATGAATGATTCAGCAGTATTACTGTAGGGAGAAATTAGAAGCTGGTCACTCTTAGGGTTTTAAGGGCATAAGGTTGGTTGTTGTTTGTGAACTTGTCCATGACAAGAGCAGTCAGAAAACAAAAATTCCAAGAAGTTAAAAGTGATTCCATTGTTAAATTTAAGTAAGCACTAACTCAATATTTTTGTTCATGTTAAATTTATAAGCTAATTAACTATATTAAAAGTGAAATACCTGAATATGTAGACATACTTACTAGTCAAGAAGAATTTCACACTTGAACTTACCATTTGTAAGTAGGGAATACTGACATTGAATGTGTCATTCATGTTTGCATGCCACACCAAGCGAACATTGGTAATATAAAAAGTTCCGAGGTTTCCCTGAAACAGCCAAAACAGAAAATTAACCTCTCAACAGTCCTCACTCTGAATCTCTAAACACCTAAACACTAGTAATGCTAATGAGGTTTTTAACTAATAAAAAATAATAAAAATTCAATAACAAGATACCATTGAGATAAATGACATTTTAATCATTTCTGATTAATTCAGGGCAAGGAAAATTAGTTTTCAAAATCTGCAATTTGCCATAAGTTTGCCCTTGTTTTGGATGGCTGAGTTCTAAATTGATCATCATCTGGCATAGCCTCCACTATTTACAATATAAAAGCTTGAGTGTAAAGAATCAATTCAGATTCATTGCTTTTCATGTACATTGTGAGAATCTGGATTGACACATCTAGAGGATAAGAAATTTCCCAAACAACCACTAAAACAATGAAAGGGGGTTAGTTTCTAAAGAACCTGTGATACCACAATCGTGGGAAAGTAAAACTGGGTAATTTAGTATTATCAAGTTAAACAGAGTTGATAATGTACACTGGCCACTATAAAGAGTTCCAAAGCTGACATTTTGAACATTAGTCCTTCAAATAATGAGGGGCTATTATGCTTGAAATGTCAGCTTTGAAACTCTCTACAGTGGCCAATTTATGTTATCACCTCAGTTGATAATAGAAAACAACTAAAATAAACAACTAGCTTTCTCCTTATCTATTGGCATCCTTTGGGAAGGTGAACATAGGAAGAGTTTTTGAAAAAAGAAAATCAACAAATTCAGTACCTGATCACTGGAGAGGTTCCAGACACCATTTATCTACAAAAAACACATTTAAATGAATAATGATTAAAGGTGAATGAATAAAAGGGGTAAGATTCTTAAAAAACTGTCACAGTACTGCTGTATCAGTGGGAGAATAAAACAAGGTAATCTGGTATTGTTAACTGGATTGATCATGTAAATTGGCAAAGCTGACATTCCGAGTGTTAGCCCTTCATCAGTACTCCAAGGAAGGGCTAATGCTTGAAACCTCAGCTTTGAAACTCATAACAGGGGCCAATTTACATTCACTTATCAACTCAGTTGATAATACCAAATTATAATGATTAAAGGTGGTTATGAGTTATTGTCTTTTGCTCCATATCAAGACACTTAACATGCATGTTGCAACTAATACCCAACAATGTTGACTTTCTTAACACATCCATTCAGAACACAACTGAAAAAGACAACCTGAGTAGTTCCACAGAGCAGAAAGGTTTTCTTCATTTGTAATTTTGGTTTAAAAATTACAGCAATTTTCCAATCATTTTAAACATGCATATGATTACCAAGAAACTTTATACAAGGAGGCTTGATAAATTACAGCGATTTTCCAATCATTTTAAACATGCATATAATTACCAAGAAACTTTATAAAAGGAGGCTGGATAACATGTGCATATCTTCTGGGATGCAATAAGCTGCACAAAAACTCTCAAATGCTATAATACAGTAATTTTAATTAAACATTCCCATATTACCTTATCATAAACTTGCTCCAATGGTAAGAGCCGCAGTTGTTTATTAAGGATCAGTGCCCCACGAAGCTTTAAGTCACGATACAATTTAGAAGATTCATATGCTCTGATAAGAGAAGGCATTTTTCAGAAATGAATCACTAAAGAAAGATAAAAAAGGAGGCCAAGGTAATTGATAATTCAAAGCTCTTCTCCACATACCTGAAAACTGAAATCACTGTTGTAAAAAGTCTGGGACTACCAGAAACCTGTAAATGTAAAATATATATAAGTCAATTAATTAACAGGGCCAGGTTGTTCAAAAAGGGGTTAACGTCAATTTAGGTTTAAAAGTTAATCTAGGCTTTAATTTCTGGTGTAGAAGAGCATGTTTGAGAGCTAAGGTTTTGTTGGGTTTCATCTCAGTATGCCGTGAAACTACTAGGGAAAATGTGAACAAAAAATCTCTTTGCAGAGCTATAAAAACTAAATTAAAAATTCACCCGGGTTAGTTAAACCTTGTTTTGGAAAACCCGACCCAGATTTAAACTCCATTTTGCCAAGTTAACCATTGTTTTTTTTTTTCAATGAAAATGTATATCAGCTATGTCTACTTTCTTTCTCAAAATTTGTCATGGATTTGATTAATTGATAACAGGACTTCTTGTTGTCCTTTTTTATCTCTAATCATACCCATGATTAACAAATCAGACTCTTGCTTTTTGGTCATCCGATTTTGTTCATCACTTGTACTATTACAGACTGAATTGGACTCCATTCAGTCCTATTACCAATATAAATTACAGTACATCAGCAGACTTGACCTGCTTCACCCTGTGGATATTAAAACATATCTTTCCCAACAAGTGCTTGAAACTACTAAACAAAACAAAGTGAAAATAATGTGAAAAAAGTCTTACCAGATTTGTGAAGATAAACTCGAACCTTGTGTTGTTACACCTTGTTAAGATATATAGAGCTTCTGTCTGTCCCCGAAGTTTCTAAATTTGTAAATTGGATAAGACCAAAAAAAAAGGGTGAGGGAAGAATGTGACATTCATTTTTTCAAAGAAAAATCATTTTCTTTTTGATTGATGACTTCTGCTTTGTACCCTAAAATGCACTGTCAGTGGGAATAAAATTTGATAAATCAACTGAAAAAAGAAAACCAAAACTGAATTGTTTGTGAAACAAAATTAGTAAGGTTATAGTGACTGCATAATTTTGAAATATGTTTAACTTAGCTTTTAATAACAAATTAATAATGGTCACGTTAAAAAAATTATCATACATACTGAATTTGCCGATCTGGTAGACACATTAACAACACAACTGAACCCAACAGCTGCAATAATAGAAACAAAAACTATAAACTATTTTTAGTTAGTAGACTAACACAAGATTTTTTCAGCATACTCTAGCAAATTAGACAAAGGTGTACATCAAATATGTCTTTTTACTATTGCAAGATGCAATGCAAGTTGGGGATTTTTACAAAAACAAACTTTTATTTTTCCATCTTCCATTCAAAATAGCAAAATATCAATCACTTTCATTGCAAACAGTCCTTTTTAGAGAAACTAACATTGAGGACCAGACTACAAGACCATAATTATTTCTGGGTTCAAAGCATTTTCTATTGAGAATTCTATGAAAGAGTGGAAATCAACCCAAGGACTGCAGTTTTAATTTTGCAAGTTCTGTTTTTGCTTTTGGATCATTTGTGCAAACTTTAGACTGAAATGGAAGGGTCAAGAAACAAATTTAGTGTGAGTAGAGAGGGTCAGGGAAGTGATCTTTCTATTCCAGATTTTCAGAGGATAACATCTCTGAAGTAGAACAATAAATATTCTTAATTCGTTTGGTAAGCTCCTCCAGGAAGCTGAAATTAGAGTGGCTGAATAAAATCTACAAAAATCAATGTTACTCACACAAGTTTACCCTGGGCATACTCTGTGAATGCCATATTAGTCTAAGGTTAGTGACGAGAAGTCTTCCTGGAGAAAAAAAGGGATAAGAAACCAGAAAAGGGCATTAGTACCCACATGCAATTTTCTCCTGGCCATTTGATTCGAAACATCAATTCTAAGATCATTTGTACAACAACAATGAAGGAAAAATCCTGGAAACAAAATCTCCCACAATTCCCTATCTTCAATCTGAAGGGCATTTGAGGGGATGGGAGTGGGGTGGCTACAACGAAGGAAACGTCTCTTTGACGAGATTGGAAATGTACATCTCAAATGTTTGCCATTGTATGTTAATAAAAGTTAAGGGCTCACAGGCAAAGCCTTAACCAGTCACAGAACCATGGGAGAACCATGTGAGCAGTTTATAAGACGATCGATCAGGCAAATGATTCACAGAATCCGATCAACGTAAATACACTAATTAATTGTACTGTACTTTTTAAGTAATTGCGTGACAATTAAATTTAACAGTTAGTACCGTACCTCGATCACCATTATTTCCCTTGGTATCTTCAACTGAATCAAGCTTGTCAATTAACTCCTTGAATGATAAAATCAATAACAAGTTAACACGGAAGACATGCATTTTATTCACTCTTCATAATATAGCCTCTCAATTTTGGAACCAGTTTCTTTATTATAGGCTTACATAGCGAGGTGTTGGTGATTATTAACCAAGCAATACTATGTAAATCAATTGAATCAAGGAAATAAAGCTCTACAATTACCTCTCCTGGTCTAAGCTGCATTTGTCTGTAACAAGAAAGGAAACAAAGTGATTAGTGGGCTTTCCAATGCTTGCAATGCTCCCTGCTAGATCGATCTGACTCGCACAAGACAGAGTTCAAGTATCTGTGGATTCTAAAACCAGACTTACTGTAAGGTGATGTCAAAACGTACATCTCGATCTTCCCATAAGTTGCAGTAGGCCATTTCTTATTCTAGATTTTTCGCAATCACAATTTTTCCCTGACAACCAACATGGCGTCCTATGAACTTAAACACGATGGCTATGTAAAATACATGAATTGTCTCAAGAAGGCGTGAAGGGTTTTGTGGGAAACAAGTGTGTCACATCATAGGGATTCCTTGGTCATGGCGGATCAGCTGCTGAGCCTGAGAGCGTGGTTTTGGGACAGAAATTTCTGGTTACCAGAATATTCCACTTGGGAGAGCTTAGAGCAAGCGAAAAAGCATAAGTGGGTCCAAAATGGCGAGCTTTTTCTATGCTTTCCCTTTGCTGTGGTGTTGATCGCTCTACGATTTCTCTTCGAGAGGTTAGTTGATGGACTACACACTCTTTGATCGTATAGTTGTTGTGTTAGATTTTGGTTCACACCTCGGCTTTATTTTTGTGTGACGTGTTCTGTCTTTAACCAAGACTTCTGAGAATGAAAATTCACATTTCGTTTGGCAGTGTTTATCATTGTGATCCAATACGATTTTGCTTTGAAAACTTAACTTGTCCAAGCAGATAAGATAAGCACGCGCGGGACAGTATTTTCTCCAAGGTAGACTGTGATCATTGCATTTTACAAATGTAGTAAAAGTAAATTCGTCCTGAAAATTTTAAGGAGGTAGCGATTTAATATCGTGAGCATGAATTTATTTCCCTTCAATTCATTAATGTAAGAATTTGATATTTATTTATTTACAAATCCAGTCAAACGTCAACATTTCAACGTGAAGTATAGATGAGGTCGTAGTTCATCTGATTTTTCGTTTTATTCCGGATGTTACCACCCTCCGTGGTGAATTTTTCTTCAGCAAATTTCTATTGACCCCAACAAACCACGTTTAAAGGCCTCTTCGTCATATTGTATCAAAATTTAACATTAACCGCACGTTTCTGACAACCACTGAGACAAAATGTCAAACCAAAGCTTTAAACTCTAGGTGTGACCTATATATGAGAAGCATGAAATTTACATGATTTCGTTTTGTATCCAAAAAATTAATAACATTCATTGCTTTGGAAACACCTGTTCTATTTTGTGTAGCTGTACTAAGTGGTCCGTTCTTTCTCCCACAAAAAGCGTAGCCGATCTGATTTGCATGTCATTTGTCAAGAACTACTCTGGAAATTAACAATACGTTCTTTTGACAAACATGTTCAATCGTTTTCTGGTTGCTAAAAGTATTTATTTTCAGCGATAAGCTAGAAAAACCTTGAAGAGTTCCCTGTTGAGTTAATTTTTCTTTATGTTGGATATCATGCAGTGAGATCTGATAAATAGATAATTGCTGAGCAATAACTTCAAAATCTGAATCCATTTCCAGGTTTTTTTTATTTATATTAGTTACAGGTCTTCATATATATTAAGCCATTTATGACATCTGCCCACCAGTAAGTGTAAAGTAAACATATTTTTGTGTAGGTGTCTTCTGAGTAGATATTTTATATATTTTTTTGTTGTTTATGTGGACAGTAAAGCAGCATAAGTTTGTTGATGCTGACGCTATGTTCTCTCAACCAACTTTCATTACCATTCAATGCATTTTTCTTCTTTTCCATTGGGAGATTGCTTCCTTAACTCTAACTCCCAAGATCTGATTGTCAATTCTCCCTTCCATCTACCACACATTTCCTTATAAATTAGTTAGGAGAATTTGGTGCTAGATTGAGATAACAACTTCTACCTGATAAGTTTGAGTATTCTTATTACCTGTTTGCTGGATAATGTATGGATGTTACATGGAGAAGTTACATTTTAATCACTTCCAAGGGGTTAAGCTATCAGATGGTAATTCCCAGAAAGGACTATGAATATAAAGCTTGGTAGTTTCTCTTATTATTATTTTTGAAAAAAAATCAGTTTTCACAAAAGATTGTGATTTTATAGTGGCAAACATATTCATTTGATAATTATTTGCCTAAACCAAACTTCATCTGGTAATAGTGAAGGGCTTCTTCATGATTTTTTTGCAGTTGTGTAAACAACACTCTGACTTAAAAAGCTTTGTGTATATTTTGGCAAATACATATAGATATATGCTAGCTCTCAGCTGTCCAAAGCTTTTTGCATTTATTTACCCTCCAAGCAGATGTGTTATTGATAGTAGTTGAAATTTCATTATTAAGGTGGAGCAGAGCAAACACTCTAATGGCAAATGTAGTATTTCATGCATCCTCATTCTACATGGTAATTTTTTTTTTTGTTGTTTTTTTTTTTGTTTTTTGAGGTAACTTTTGTTATCAAATTTTTCTTTGTTTGGCTAGGACTCTACAGGAATATCTCCAAACTTAGCAGTAAGCTTCATAGGTTTACTTTAAAATCAAGCAGTTAATTTTTTTGTTTAAATTTGGTCGTACTGGTTTGCTTTGTATGTATTTATGGAGTGGCCACTAAATTTTGACAGCTATTTCAAATGTTTCTGTCACCTTCATGGATTGGATTAAAAATAACCCTCAGGTATACACTACCCAAGAGGGTATGCAAGAGATTAAAAATAACCCTCAGGTATACACTGCCTAATGGGGTATAGAAGAGATTAAAAATAACCCTCAGGTATACACTACCCAAGAGGGTATAGAAGAGATTAAAAATAACCCTCAGGTATACACTACCCAAGAGGGTATGAAAGAGATTAAAAATAACCCTCAGGTATACACTACCCAAGAGGATAAAGAAGAGATTAAAAATAACCCTCAGGTATACACTACCCAAGAGGGTATGCAAGAGATTAAAAAAACCCTCAGGTGTATACTACCCAAGAGGGTATATAAGAGATAAAAAATAACCCTCAGGTATACACTACCCAAGAGGGTATGAAAGAGATAAAAAATAACCCTCAGGTATACACTACCCAAGAGGGTATGCAAGAGATTAAAAATAACCCTCAGGTATATACTACCCAAGAGGGTATGAAAGAGATTAAAAATAACCCTCAGGTATACACTGCCTAAAGGGGTATAGAAGAGATTAAAAATAACCCTCAGGTATACACTACCCAAGAGGATATAGAAGAGATTAAAAATAACCCTCAGGTATACACTACCCAAGAGGATAAAGAAGAGATTAAAAATAACCCTCAGGTAGACACTTCTCAAGAGGGTATGCAAGACATTAAAATAACCCTTAGGTATACAATACCCAAAAGGGTATAGAAGAGATTAAAGGTAATCCTCGGGTATACACTACCCAAGAGGGAATAGGAGAGATTATGAATAACCCCCAGGTATACACTACCCAAGAGGGTATAGAAGAGATAAAAATTAATCCTCAGGTAGACACTTCCCAAGAGGGTATGCAAGAGATTAAAATAACCCTTGGGTATACACTACCCAAGAGGGTATAGAAGAGATTAAAGGTAATCCTCAGGTATACACTACCCAAGAGGGTATGCAAGAGATTAAAAATAACCCTCAGGTATACACTACCTAAGAGGGTATAGAAGAGATTAAAAATAACCCTCAGGTATACACTACCCAAGAGGATATAGAAGAGATTAAGAATAACCCTCAAGTATACACTACCCGAGAGGGTATAGAAGATATTAAAAATTAATCCTCAGGTAGACACTTCCCAAGAGGGTATGCAAGAGATTAAAATAACCCTTAGGTATACACTACCCAAGAGGGCATAGAAGAGATCAAAGGTAATCCTTGGGTATACACTACTCAAGAGGGTATAGGAGAGATTATGAATAACCCCCAGGTATATACTACCCAAGAGGGTATGCAAGAGATTAAAAATAACCCTCAGGTATACACTACCCAAGAGGGTATAGAAGAGATTAAAAATTAATCTTCAGGTATACGTTACCCAAGAGGGCATGAAAAATTGAAGTCACACTAATTAATATCAGGAGACTGCTCTTTGTCTGGAGTCTTTCTTTTGACTGAAAGTTGAGGCATCCGCCGTTAACTTGATTCCAATGCAAGATTTCTTGTGTTTTCACAATTGAAATTTGAGCATAGATGAAGTATTAATTATTAGGTGAACCTTTAACTTATAATCAACAGGTTTAAGTAACTGCATAGACACCTACCAACTGCAAATGTTGATGTAATTCTCTACACTGATGACAGAAATATAGTGCCTTCGTAGAATGCATGCTGCAAATTTTTTTTGGAGCCAAAGCTCCTCGTGTTAAGTTTAAGTGGCAGGTTTTGCAACCTCATTTTCTCCAGTGAGATCTGTAGGATGGACACTTAACATTTCCACTCTTCAATAATGAGGGCAAATGAGTTCTGAGTCCAAGAAAATACTTGGGGGTAATTTATGATGGCTTGATGTGTGGGTAGAGTGACTTATCCTGCCAAATATAATTCTTCTTGCTCCTGCTCCTTATGGTTTTATCTTTGCTAAAAACACACCATACCAATAATATCATTGATAGATAAAAATGTTTTTTGTTTTATCATGAGCATGAGATAAAGAAAAACTTTGGGGTCCCCATGAAGGTCTGAGATTCAAAAGTTACCATCTTTCATATTCTATTTATAAACACAATGCTAAGGACATTGCTGATCCCAGCAGTTTGCAGAATATGTGTCACATATGAACTTCACATTGGGCCTTGCTTACCATAGAGTCTCTGTGGCTCAGTGGTAGGGCACTGGAGCACAGAATCTGAAGGTGTGAGGTTCAATTCCTTATGGGGACTTAGAATTCTTTCTTTGTCTAATGCTTATGACAAGACCAAGAATATATTTTTCCTTTTCCTTACCAAGCTCAAAACTTACCATCTTTCTTATTCTATTTACAATATTATTGATCCCCATTTTCGAAAAATATCTGATATTTTTGCTCCGGCTTTTCATTATATGCTATGACCAGATTATTTATTGGATGAGTTGCATTGAGAGAGCCAAAACAAGAGGGGAGTTGATGTTACAGACACACAAAATTGAATTTTTGGAGGTGTGAACCCAGCTGATTTTATATGGTGCACAAGATTAAGTACTCTTAGAAATTAGCTCTTGGTCTGCACACTAAATTAGTTAGGCTCACACATAAAAATTCTTTGTCTTCACTTTCATCAGAAGGTTGGTTCATT